ACCCCCCCGGGGGGGGATGGCCACACCACAATCCCTTCTCCTCCATTCTCCTCTCAGGATCTTGGGCACGCACATACACACGCCCGGCGTGAGTTTAAGCCACTGGGTCCAGGACTCCAACCGCAATTGACTACATGGGAGTCCAGTGACATAGCCATTGCGCCATCTGCTGGTCCTATCACTTGATATTTCTATTTTGACATCTCAAGATACTTCAAAATAAATATGTTTAATAGTAAGTTCAGATATTTCCCAAAAAAATCTTTTGTCTCCAAAGAAATACACTGTTTCTCCAAAGAAATACACTGTTATTTCTTCTCAAGTCAGAAACCTAGGTGTCATCCTTGGTTCCCTTCACTCTCTTCTACCTCATCCTCACGTGCAACCAACCAAGCATTATTTTCCTGAAGGTATAAGTTATTGATGGACCAAACTGTTATCCCCCAAAGTTCATATGTTGAAGCCCTAACAGCCAATGTAATTACATCTGGAGTTCATTAGGAAGCAATTTAAAGTTAAATGAGTTCAAAGGGGAATATAAATTGTTGTTCCCCACAGCCTACAGGGGGATCATCTTTATATATGACGCTATGCTCAAATTAAACTCTTGACCACCTGTTTTTTTGTTTGTTTGTTTGTTTGGTTTGGTTTGGTTTAAACTTAAAAGGCAGCCTGTGGTTGAGGTGCTGGACTCACACATGGCTGACCACAGCTTGAGTCTCAGACCTGGTGACTTGTTTTCTTATTTTTCCTCTCTCTCTCTCTCTCTCTCTCTCTCTCTCTTTTTTCTCTCTCTCCTCCTCTGTGTCTCTCAAATTTAAAAAAAAAATGATGATAATAAAGTTAGATAAAAATAAGTCTTTTTTGGGACCAGCAGTTGATGTGATGGCTATGTTGCTAGACTCCCATGTAGTCTACCATGGTTTGAGTCCTGGACCTGGTGGCTTAAACTCATACTGGGTACATGTGCATGCCCAAGATCCCGAGAGTAGAATGGAGGAGAAGGGATTGCAGCATGGCCATCCCTGTGGGGGGAGATTTCTCGCTTTTTGTCTCTCTGTCTTTCTCCGTCTTTCTGGTGAGAGCACATGCCCTGTAGCAAAAACCTCTCCAAAAATAATAATAATAAGTCTTTTTTAAAAAAATAACTTAAAAGTTAAGAATTTGAAATTTCTGGTTTTGGTTTTCTTTGTAGTACCCTCTCTATTTCTTGGGGTAAAAACTCTTGCTTACCATATGGGAGTCCAGTACCTTAACCACTATGGCACCTGCAGCCCCAGAATACCATTATTTTACCTGACCTAGTTGTTTATGGCCAGCTGAAACATTCACAGTCCCACTCCTAGACTTAGGTTGTTTTTTTTTTTTCCTCTTTTATCTCATCATATATTAATTTTTTCTTCTTTATTTTATACAATCAATATAAATTTCTCAGTAGACTAGAGGAAAGGGGAGGAAGAATTTGGGAGAGGGAAAGGAGAGCGCCAAAAGAAAGGATTGAGCTTTAGGTATCTCCTAGGTAACTGGCAACTCTGATTTCCTCTCAGTGAATCATCTCACATATTCTCTTACACAAGTCAGAAGAAAACACAAACTCTGTTTTACTCCATGTCACAGTGGGAGTGACACTAATAGATTTATGTTATCTTCAGGACAACTATGGTTGAACCACATTAAAGAAGTGATTTAGCTACAGCAGTGATTCTCTGAAGTCTCAACAGAGAATCTATACCACTAATCAACTTCCAGACCTGAGTCATCCATGCATTACTAGCTACAAACAATATATCATCTTTATTGGAATGTCAAACCCAACGTGTCTCAAATGGAACTCATCTTTCTCCACAAACTGGTTTTGCTTCTTAATCTCCGTGTGTGAACCAGTGCTACAACCATAATCCTTAACCATCCTACTTTACAACCAAGGGCTATCTTTAACCTCCCTCTTTTCTCATCCTTACACTACAAGAGAGAGGGAAGGAGCTAGGATCTACTCTCTGTCCTACCCACTGATGTGAGTCAAACACTGACAGAACTGTCAAGGAGTAGTCCAAGGTCCTCATGAGTCAGAATGTCTTGTGGCACATGTTACAAACGTAGACTTCCAGCCACACCACAGATCTCCTGAATCAGCATTTGGCTGGATAATCAGCATTTTAAATTAGATCCCTATGGGACTTTTAAGGCCAATTAAAGGAAATGACCAAATTACAGAGAAAGACCTTGTGGAAGAGCAGCAGGAGAGTGAGGCACCTTTTTCCAAAGGTCACAAATAGAGATTCAAGAGGACACAAAGAGTCCCAAGCTGGTGGGTGGCACATCAAGGTAGAAAATCAAAGTAAACAGTATGGAAAGGTTCACTATTTCTGAAGTCGTCATTTAGACCTACTCATAGATATCCTTTGCCAAGATAGGATGGGAGAGACTCTATTTCCCCCAAAGGAAGACCAGAATTTGAGCCTGGTTCTGAGAATGAAAGCACACAGGGGAGAAATCGTAGCAACTAAGTAACTATTGGCATTGCAGAGTTAACACTGGCTGGTTGGATCCCAACTCTGTTTAACAATAAATACACCTAGGGAACAAAACAGGAGGCCGCTGGGTGATGATTCAGGGCTTCATCTGTATCAGTGACAATATGGTTGGAAGCCATTCTAACCACTTTAAATGCAAAAAGATTTAATAGAATGAGTTAGGTATTCACAAAACTGTTAGAAAGGCTGAGGATACAGGCTCTAGGCTGAGCTTCCAGGAATGATCACTGAAGTGCCAACCCACGTAGTTATTGAATGCCCTAGTCAGAAAACCAAGAAATGATCAGAAAGCTGAGGAATAGAGAAATAGCTGCCCCAACTGCTGGTTCCAGGCATGCTGCCTCATCCAGATCTATGCCAGCAAAGCGGACCGTCCTGCCACCCTCAGGAGAAAAGGCACCAGATCAGAAAGCCTCTGCTAATACATTGCCATAGAAAAACTAGGGTTTCCATCGTGAGTGAAACAGGCCAGGCAGCTCGTCCGCTCTGTGTGCGGAAACGACATCATGAGATTTCAGAACAATAACTTTTTGGTAATTGGACAGATGGTGATCATTGGTCCTGGCGCCCTGAAAAAAAAAAAAAAAAAAAAAAAAAAAAGACCCCCCCCCCACCTTTTTCCCTGCTT